ATATTTTTTAGTGATAAATTATTTGGTCATCATTGAATATGTAAGGTATATGTGACCAATATTAAAATTTTGTCATAATTGTAATGTATTATAGTGATGATTTTTTATGGACAAAAACTTATTTTATTTCTATGAGCATTTTTCGATGACAAAATATATTTTTTATGATGAATTTTTTTGTTCATTATTAAATATGTATGCATTTATGACTAATTTTTTAAATCTATCATAATTATGATAAGTTATAGTGATAATTTTAAAATTCATCATAAATTTCTATCACTAAAAATCATTTTTCTTGTAGTGGTTACAGGTAAGAGACTCCATCTTCAAAGGTAGTGGGCATTTCCATTAATATTATTTACACCTAAATAAGGTTTAAGGGATTCAAACATGCGTCTTCAATAAGGTTTACGTCATGCCCTACCTCTTAAGCCAATCTTATTAGGTTAAAAAGACATTAATTTTGTTATAATTAAATTAAGTTTAATTAACATTTTGTACATGTTAATAATTATATATATGTATAATACGTTTTTAAACAATAATAAAACACCAATATAGATTTTGCAAGGCACAATACAAGAAAAGTTGCAATTGCAATACTAATTTAAATGAATAGAATTAATTATAACTATTGTCATATTAGAACGTAACATTGTAGTATTCAACTATGAAATAAGATCCTGTTAGGTTTTTGATTTCTTTCATGGTCAGGAAAAGAAAAAACAAATAGATATTGCTTGATTTTGGGAGTTTGCTTTATTGCTGTGGAAGAGAACAATAGAAACTTACAAGGTTAAGAAATCAAATGCCTAATGTTTGATCTGTACTGCAAGGAACAGCTAAAGAAATCTTCAAACGAAAGCAAGACATCGTTGTTACCAGCGATTGGGCTCACTATATTTTTCCTTCACCAACTGGGCTGACCAGTATCCAGTTTTCAACCCATGACTTTTAGAGTTGTAACATGTCTTTTAATATTAATAATTTAAATAATTCAATAATAATTTTGTTTTAATAAAGATATGAGATCTTAAATTTGAGTTGCATAGTATGTGGATGGTTGGGTTAAGTTATTAAAGAATAGAAGAAGGTTACTTTTTATTGTGTAGCTCAGAATATAAGAAATAAAAACATGTCCTTTAATTATTGTATCACCATGTCGTTCATATATTATTTCCCCCAATAATATCCACTTCATGACCATTGAAAATCTCTCTGTTTTTTGGGGGAAAACTTTAGGATGTGGAAGTGTAATATTCCTATGCTCCATGTGTCTGAGTTTGAATCTATTAACTGTCTAAAGGAGATTACCCACGGAGCTTGTTTGGAGGCGGGGAAGCCCATTTACTAGGATAAGATCCTTGGGCCTTTGGGCGAAGTCCAAGTAGATGGTGGGCTCCCTGGGTCCCGTGGTTTTGGCACTGTTTGTTATATTTCCTCTTTTGTTTTTATTAATTGTTCTTGTCTCTAATTTTATAAAAAATTTATATAGTAAATTATCAATTTATTTTAAGAAAATCAATTTATAGAAAATATTGCTGTCCTCGTTCTCATTCCAAAAATCAGTGATAATTTTTTTAGTGAAAATAAAAAATAAAAGCTGTATCTTATTATGCAAAACAAAATTAAAAAATAAAAAATAAAACCCTTGTAGTGTACTAGTATTAAACAAGGAACACAATACTTTGGCTAAAAAAAAATTGTACTCTTGATTTTAGCTGACCATTGCATTAGAATACAATTTTTCCAACAACTTAAATTCAAAATACAATTGAAATGTTCCAATTTTCTTGTTCTTGCCGTCTTACTTGGTCTCAGGGAATTGTTTCAAAGGACTTGGATCCATGGAAGCAAAAGCAGGGAGCTCTTCGTTGTGTTCTAGTATGCTCCTGTACTCTTCCCCTAAATAAGCCCATGCTTCAACCCCATCTCTAGATCCTGTATCCATGAGAATAGTTCCATTCATGAAAACTGTAGTTGGAACTGTGGCGACACCAACAGGAGATAGACCCATGCAGGTTTTCCCACCCGAAATCTGCCTCATAGAAACCAAAGTTGCACCAACTTGGAAAGGTAACCAAATCAGCATCAGTTGATGATATCTTAATAAAATATTTATGACATATAAAACGAACAATAGAGTCACAACCAAACGAAAGTACATAGTAGACAGAGGAACTCATTTAATACTCCGTTAGCAAGTGCAAAAGGTTACTACACTCACAAACAAGCAGGAGAGTGTTAAGAACGATGCGTGATGCAAGGCATGTGAAGTATGATGCATGTACATGTGAATGTAGTGATACATGAACATGGAAAAATATAATGCATAACGTAACATAGCTTAGGTAGGCAAAAGGGCAGAATAGTAAAAATTTCCAATAAAAAGGCAAGCAAAGACTCCAACAAGGACTCACCACCCAAAGACAGTAAAAAGTTTCCTAAAAGTATTAGATCGAAACCCTCGTCAAACTAGCTAGAATTGTTAACGTCTTTACGTACTTAAAATTTCAACAATAAAATTATATTTTTAAAAATTAAGTTTTAATGACAAAAATAGGAGTCATCATCTACTCAAATAATGATGGAATAATTTACTGCAATTTGTAAGAGATTTGAAATCTGATAGTATGATTAGAAGTGAAAATGAGCATACATATACCTTATAATTTTTGTATACAATATGGTTGCATACTTTATCATGAACTAGAAAGAGATGTGAAGATACCTATAATGATGGAAATTAAATTTAAGTTAGATATTGATATGGTATTTACAATTAAGCCCCATTTTGTCAAGCCTATTGTTTTTGTTGGGAAATCCCCGGAAAAATAAGGAAGAAAAGGGGAAAACTAATCTTACCATATCACTATAATTAGCATTCCTTTCATGCTTATTTCCTCCATAATAGCTATGATATTTCTCATACCTGACACATTAAGATATGATTGATCCCATAGTTTAGTAAGAGATGTAAAGATACTTACAAAAATTTACATGAACTAGAAAATCTGATGAGCAAATCTAATAAATTACTTTTCCACGGAGGACTGGACTTCACTTCTGTCAATCTCGCCACCGATACGCGAAGCCAGATCTAATGCACTAGGAGTCGACATTCTCTATAATTTCAGCAAAAAGAAAAAGGACAAACGAAAGTTTTAGAAAACTTGTTTTAGGTAAATAATCCCCAAGAACGCTTTTTTGCAATTCAACTTGAGTTGGACTGTAATTAAGTCGAATTGCAAAAAATAGGCTATTGATTTTAAAAAGAAAGATCTTGGCTTTTCCCATTAATGTTTATAATTGCACAGTCTAGATGATCAAGTCTGACTTCACAATACCTTTTAATATTCTTCCTGGCTGATAAGAAAAGAAAAGAAAAGAAGTAAACATTCCTCCGGTGAAATGCAGATGCTACGATCACCTATGAACCAGATCGGCGTAATTGGAGATGGATAGAGAAGAGCGCAGCGCAGCTTTTTCGAAGACTGTCCAGATGAATTTATAGGAAAACACGGTCACGGAGCGATTCACACATATGAACTAAAATATAATAAAAATATAATTTTTTAGGATGAATTAATGTTATTGATTGATCCGAGGAACCAATATAAAATTGAACGCGCCCCAATATTTTGTAAAACATAATGTTCTATTTTATGATTGATTATTTTTATTGTCCATTTAACATTACCATTAAAGTAAATTGTAATACTAAAATTACAATGTTATATAAATTTATAAATTTATAAGTATGACACGATATTAAATGAATGTAAATATCAATAAATAAATAGATACTTATAGTATCATAAATGAACTCTAAATGAAAAAAAACTAATTATATGACAATTGTTTTCCCAAAAATCCTTCTTTTTCACTGTCACATGGCAGATGTACTCAGGTATTCCACTTGTTTTGTAACAAAAGCAAGAAGAAACTTTCTTGATGATCCTTTTCTTTCAAGTGATCAACCTCTAAGTTGGATTGCTGGAAGAATGTCAATTTAATAAAGAGATGTGCCCCAAGCGAGATGATTGGCAAGAATGAGGATGCTTTCTTGCATAAATGGGTTAAAAATAATGCCCTAAAAAATTATCAAGAACTTCTCACATCAAGGGTTAATCAGGTGTGTTTGTTGATAAGGAAGACAGACACAATAACTAAAAACAAACAACTAAAAGGAAACTAAAGGCATAACAATGAAAAAAAAACAAGAATAAAAGTTAAACAGTGCTATGAAACATACATAAAACACAAAATAGACCAAGGGGATGACAAACCTACATATTAGTTAAGAATTACGTAGACTAATGAATTATACTTGTAGACGTTTGCAAACATACATGAAAAGCTACATTACAGACTAACTTATTTTATTTGCAATAAGATAGTAGAAACATAAAGAAGATATGGAAGTAAATAGGATTTTTAAAGTATAGGAAACATGGTTTCATTAACATAACTTGAAAACAATTGTAAAACGCAAATTAACCATAATATCAGATCTAGAATTTAATATTGATGGATTTGCTAATTGATTTCATGAGAAAAACCTAAGAAG